AGGCTGTGCTGGTGGTTACAGGAAAGGAGCCAGTGCCAATCGTTCCTAGACTCCCCCTGGCGGCGCTGTTGTGGACAGTGGGAGAGTCTGCAGCAGCGGTGGGAGCGCATCGGCAGTTTCAGGAGCGCGGAGTGACGTTTTTCCTGCTATTTGCTTTGCAAACCCGGACCCTATTTAGTCATTACTATTCCATACTCGGGCGTTTGTTTTGTCTGATGCATTCTTCCTTTGGTACTCTCATAGACAAATCCTCGTGTAATGTAGTATTTTACCCGTATTCTGCGCCGGGTAGTACATATTTCCAAATCTGAGCCCTGGTGCTTCAAACTTTTATCTCATCTCATCTTACTTAGTCTGAGAATTCGCTTGTTTTCGCTTTCCCTGCATACATGTCTTCGCTTTCCCTGCATACATGTCTCGTGTTCACATGAAGGATTCGATAGGAAGAAGGCTTCATTCAAGGAATCTTTACTGCGGGTTTTCAGCTTTGGTTTTTGGTTGGTAAATGTGGAAGGTTGGGGATTGATTTGTTGAAGGCAACGGAACTATAGGAGGTGGTGAGAGACCTACTAGTAGTTGTGGGAACGTTGCTGATATACTAGGGCACGTCTGAATAGCATCTAGCTGTCAAGAGAGCAAACTTGGGTTGTACCCATTATGATCTAGGGTGCCTGGAAGATGGCAGTCCCTACATAGGTCTAAGGGTGCAAGGTGGGAAACCTTGTCACGGCAACCCAGGTTCCCCAGGGCTGCTAGTAGCTACTCCATTGGGCCAGTACTGGTGCTGTCTTTGCTTGGTGGAAATTGTTTGATTTGCTTGTTGGGTGTTTCCTTTTCTGGAATTTTCCAGTTTCATCTCTAGCTTAAAATCTGTTATCTGCCTTTGTTCAGTAGGGTATGAATACTGTAATCTCTAATACATGAGTTTATGTTGTCGGGAAACAATATAGGATCGTGACTAGATCCGTCGTAGTGGGAGGCAGATCTACGGATTGGAGAAGTGTTCTGACTCGTATCTGTAAAGGGTTGGTGTGTGCCCTCAGTTTGAGCTTGTATCTACGAGCTTCGAGGGGTTCCTTGTACAACTGGAGGTTGGCCTTTAACCCTCTGTTTCGCAGGTAAGGGCCAGGTGCTGTGTGTCGCTTCGATAACGATCCTTGGCCTCTGTTTTCTAGTACGAAGCTCTGGGCATTTTGCTAGGCCTCTGGAAGCGAGCGCCTTTTACTGTGCTTCAAGCTAATTTTTTCGGAAAGACTGTTTAGAAGGGGACGCTGGACCTGGTTTCCAGCAAAAGCAGTCTTGGGTAGCCGGAGTACATGAGCTGTCTTTACACGTCTCGAGTGATGCTCTTAAGCGAAACTGGCTGAGGCTGCCAGGATAACTCCGGGTTGAATTGTGAGGTCCCCGGCCTCGTCGAATTGGTTTTTGCAATAAAATTATCAAGCAAATATGAAAGTACCGACGGCGGTGGTCTCAGGCTGGGTGTCATATTTACAGGGGTCGGCCTTGGTGTCAGAGGGGGAAAGGGAAAGAAAGAAAGAAAGAAAGAAAGAAAGAAAGAAAGAAAGAAAGAAAGAAAAAAAAAGGGTTAATAGCAAAAATATTGCTGTTTCGAAGTTTGGCAGCAAAAATGTCGTCCGTTCGAAGTTTCCTTTACAAAAATAGATGTTTCGTTGCAGCTTTATCGGGTTCCCATAGTTTGCCAGCAAAAATACCGCGTTTTGCCCAGTTTCACAGCAAAGGACCCCTAGGACTCTGGCCTCAGGG